TGACAAGCTCGTGGAAACTGTCCATGCGGTCGGAGCTAAGTTCTGCAAGACCCGCCACAGAAGAACACAAAAACTCTCCGATCACACTCTTAATCTCATGGCTGTTAGACGGGAGATGAAGCTACATTCTTCAACAGATTTAACAGCATACAGGCAACTGAACAGACAGATCTCCAAATGCATGCGGCGGGACTTACGCAAATTCAATACAGCTCGTATTGAAGAAGCGATCGAGCGGAACCGAGGCTCCAAAGTCTTTGCCAGAGATCTGTCTGCCAGAAAGCGCCAACTGTCAAAGCTGAAGACAGAATGTGGCAGCATCGTTTCCGGGGCACCTGAGATTTTGAGTGAGATTGAGAGGTTCTATGGGCAGCTGTACACGTCATCGTTGGAGCCGCACGCAAGTGTGAGTAACGATCCAAGAGCGAGTCTTATCCGACATTATTCCGATGATATCCCGGACGTCAGTCTGAGCGAGATTAGAATGGCTCTCCAGCACCTTAAAAACGGCAAGGCCCCAGGCGAGGATGGAATTACAGCGGAGCTTCTGAAAGCGGGTGGAAGACCGGTACTTGAAGTCCTTCAGAAGCTCTTTAATTCCGTCCTCCATGGTGGCATTACACCGGAGGCGTGGAGCAGAAGTGCGGTGGTCTTGTTCTTCAAGAAAGGCGACAACGCTCTCTTGAAGAACTACAGACCGATTTCCCTTCTGAGCCGCGTCTACGTGCTGTTTTCGAGAGTCATTACGAATCGTCTCGCGCGCAGACTTGACGACTTCCAGCCTCCCGAACAAGCCGGTTTCCGAAAAGGCTTTAGCACCATAGACCACATACATACCCTTCGGCAAATTGTGCAGAAGTCCGAGGAGTACAATTTGCCACTATGTCTGGCGTATGTGGACTATGAGAAAGCCTTTGATTCCGTCGAAATTTGGGCGGTGCTGCAGTCCCTTCAGCGATGCCAAGTTGACTGTCGGTATATCGAAGTGTTGAAGTGCTTGTACAGTAGGGCTACGATGGCTATCCGAGTACAGAACCAGAGTACGAAACCTATCCAATTGCAGAGAGGTGTAAGACAGGGTGACGTCATATCCCCGAAACTCTTTACCGCTGCATTGGAAGATGTTTTCAAGCTTCTGGACTGGAAAGGATACGGTATCAACATCAATGGCGAGTACATCACTCACCTTCGATTTGCCGACGATATAGTCCTTATGGCAGAATCGCTGGAGGACCTAAGCACTATGCTCAATGACCTCAATAGTGTTTCCCAACGGATAGGTCTTAAGATGAACATGGACAAAACAAAGATCATGTTTAATGTCCATGTCACACCTATGCCGGTAGTTGTTGGGAACACTAAGCTCGAAGTTGTTGACGAGTATGTTTACCTGGGACAAATAGTCCGACTAGGTAAGTCCAACTTCGACCGAGAGGTCAATCGACGGATTCAACTCGGTTGGGCAGCGTTCGGGAAATTACGGCACATCTTCTCGTCAGGTATACCTCAAAACTTGAAAACGAGACTGTACACCCAGTGCGTGTTGCCAGTGATGACATACGGAACTGAGACGTGGTCCTTCACTGCTGGCCGGATGAGGAAGCTCAAGGTCGCTCAGCGAGCTATGGAGAGGGCTATGCTCGGAGTTTCTCTGCGTGATAAACGCAGTAATGAGGATATCCGCAGTAGAACTAGAGTGACCGACATAGCCCAACGGATTAGTAAGCTGAAGTGGCAATGGGCCGGCCATATAGCTCGAAGAACCGACAACCGATGGGGAAGAAAGGTTCTCGAGTGGCAGCCTCGTACCGGCAGGCGAAGTGTAGGGCGTCCCCCCACTAGATGGAGTGACGACCTGGTAAGATATGCAGGAAGTCGATGGATGCAGGTGGCTCAGGACCGTGCTTTGTGGCATTCTTTGGGGGAGGCCTATGTTCAGCAGTGGACTTGTGAAGGGCTGTAATGATGATGATGATGATGAATAAAATATTCATAGAATTTATATTTACTAAAAGATTCATTTAACAATCGCCTTCTGTGATGACCTAGTTGGCAACTAGTCGAAAATGATAATTTTGGTCGCTCCGATTACTTTAGAGCTAGCCAAAATAGCTAAAAATCGCTTACCTATTTAAGCTACACAGAGCATGCATTCGCTAATATTGCCACACTGGCGAATGCTGCAATGTGTACATTACATTACAAGCTATTCAAATTATTCGATCGATATTCGATCGAATAATTTGAATAGCTTGATCACGATTCACACCTATTACGAGTTAAAATGGTTGCATCAATTGTTTGTGATTGGTCGTAACGGAACATTAAAAAACATAAGAATAAATCATCAGTACTTTTAAGTGTCCCGGTTCAAACGAACTAATCATTCATGATTGAAACATGTCTACTGTTAATAGTAAAGCTTAGTTTAAAATAACAGTAAAGAAAAAGAAGAAACTACGGCTGCAAAATATATGTCGATATTTTTATAATCGATTACATAGTTGAGTATGATAATCGTATACCATTTGTTTGGTTTTTAGAATAATCGATTAGTCTATTATTTGTAATCGATTACGCTCGTCACTAGTTTGTCATGTCACAAACACAAAGCTACATTTATATATTTATCTATGCAAATCACAATCAGCAATGTTAGGGGTGTCCACTTTGAAAATACATCGATGTTTTTTTTCGATGTGATGCATCGAGACTGTGCATCGATATATTTCGATGCATCGGTTAGAAACATCGATGTTTTTGCAACATCGAGTACTTTTTATGACTTTACATTATAAATCTGTAGTCAACTTCCTGACATCTCCATTCAAACAATCGACAATTTTGAATGATCTACTCTTACATCGGCACTGTCTTTGTCCGCACGCAGTCAATTATATAAACTATTTATATTTGTATTTATTTATTATATTAGTATAATTTATATATATCTTAGTTATTTATTTTTTATTTTGTTTTTATTCTATTCTGCTACACATTTTCAGTTCGCCCTTTGTATTATTTTATATTAAGGAATGCAATAAAGAATAAATAAATTATTATTAATGATCATTAGTCATTGTACCTACTACTAAATAGACGGCGGCTTTAGAACAAAATTCACGAAAAATGTGTCCCGAGTCAACCTATAAAAACGTATTATTTATATCGTATATATAATCTTACTTGCGACAATTTAGCAGCCTTTCAACTACAACCAGAAGCTATTTTCATCTTATGCAGCTTCTAGCGAAAATTATCGGTTTGATTTTTTGTTTTTAAAATTAATGTGAATTTAATTTAAATACTACGTATGTTGTATCTAAGCAAAATATTACTTTTAAAGTATTAAAATAGTCCTTATCTAAAATATATATAAATATAAATAGTTTTGCTCGTTTTGTAATACAGTAATTTTGGAGTGTATTATCAATCGACAAAACGAAGACTGGCGCGCAATTGCAACTCTTTTTGCATTTTGGAACTCTTTTGACTCGGACACTTGAGTGCAGATCCGAGGTCCATTTAGTAGTAGGTCAATGTTTACGATATTATTTTAAATGATTTTAATAGAAAAAAAAAGCATGCATCACAATAAAAATACTTACATATGGAATATAACTCCATCTTTTATAAATTTTAAGTATTTTGACTGCTTTATGATCGCACCAATCGGTATTTTTTAAAGAGCACCTACTTCGGCGGAAACGATTCTTGTAATAATAAAATCGATTTCGAAAGCAGTTTTTATAAATGCACAAGCTTTTAAATCCAATACCTTGGCAGAGGGGAATAATTATGCGAGATGAGTCTGAGGTTAAATGGTCTTAAGGCGGCTATCACTTGCCTGCCGCAGGGGCAATCTAGGGTGTAGGAGTGGGGATGAGCTTTAATTGCCTCCTTAATTTTGATGTGTGTATGCAAGCAGGGGCAATTTTCTAAGTCGGCCCTGCGGCAGAGCGACATGGGCGCAAGACCTTCCTTGCTCCCTAGATCATAGCTACCACGCCACATGTGTAACGCAAATGGGGCAATTTCAAACAGTTCATAAGCGACTTTCGCATGCAGCACACGTCATAATGGATACCAATAAAACATGAAATTTGGACACTGGTGATAGAAGTGTATAAAGAGGCGGCTTCTTCGTTATCTGAACGTCGTAACATTTTTAAACGTGGTAGAGTCATACTGCAGTTTTAAAGACTGTATTATGGGTGTAATTATTAATTAATTAGTTGTTTTATCAACAAATATGGGTGTCTATGGGCCACAGTATCCACTTAACGTCAGGTGGACTGTGCTCATTCGTCACCCTTATTCTATATAAAAAGGGCCAAGGCTATATTTACCGATTCATTTATATTTTGATAAAACTAGCGCCATTCTAAACGCGTGTGTCCAGCGAGACGTACACTCTCACATAGAATGGCAGGCATGTGTGTAGACAGTTCTGATATTGCCCCGATCGCTGTTCGACCTAGATTGCCATGCGGCACGAAAGTGAGAAGCCGCCTTAAGACCGAGACAGACCAGACGATTTTCTTTAGATTTTCTTTAATACACAACCAGCCAATCTCAATTTCTTGATTCCGCTAAGGGACTGACAGCCGCCAACTAGCGCCACCAACAGGTTTAGATATTATAACTTCTAAATCAGAGCATGTTTTAGTTTTTCTGATTTAGAAGTTCTAATATTAATAGTGATAGATAAGTATACCTGTTTACAATTGACTGGTTATCATTGATTCGATGTTTTATGAAAATATATCGATACATCGAGTATATCAATAGCTTTCCAAAACATCGGATCGATTCGATGCATCGTATTGTAAACATCGAGTGAATTCGATGCATCGATGTATATCGAATATCCCTAAGCAATGTCAATTTTTGTTTAGAATTTTCGTTTCGTGTAGCATGTTGTTATTTTTCTATGTAAACTGTAAATGTTGAAAATGCTGCTATGATTCCTCAATTGTGTTATTAGAAAACGTTATATCATGTCCAGCCTATCATCATCAAGTAGCAATAAAAATCACACTAAAAAGTTGAACAGCGGAAGAGAGCGCGATAAAAATAAGTCCGTTGCCTCAGAATCTGGGGGATCTAGTCAATGTGATACTCCACCTCTTTCAGAGAAGGTAACATAAATGGTCTCATAACATAATATGTAATTTATAAAGTTCTATAATTATATGGACCGCATTTGGTTAAGTTACGATAGATACAAATTATTACAGTTTTTTACTATTATAAAGCCAGAATTTATAATCTTCCCTTTTCTTAACAGCTTACAGACTTTTTGGCTGATATAATTCTAAACTTCTGACTTATTGTAGGAAATATTATTTTAGCAAATATATTCAGAACAAAGCAAATAGTTTTTTTGGTGTTTTTAACATTTTGGTACTAGTTGATGTTGAACTTAAATCTTTTCGACTTTCATTATATTTTTATTGACTAATAACACCTTGTTATTATTGTATTTATAATATTACCAAGCCCAGATGACGTTGTTGTGTTCTTTGCGGTAGGTGGAAATCCAGTTTTGTTTCCCTTTAAAAGAATTTGGATTAAAATAAAATCTATATACACTTCTGACTTTTTACATTGTAAATATTTAAAAAAACATTCTTGTTAGCTTTGCTTTGCTACTTTGAATTGACAGTTGGAGTATGCGTTTAATTAATGTATTCACATCTAAGGGTACCTGAAGTGCTTTAAATTAAATGTAACTGCATTTTTGGAGAAAAATGCAGTGACATTTAAAGCTCTTGCAGCATGACCACATGGCCTTCTTTAAAAATACATAATGTATAAAAAATCTTCTTGTTTCTATGGTATAAACTTGTTATTAATGATAAATGATAAATTATTGTGTACCATACTGACAAATTTTCCATGACATAATACTGAACATAGACAAAAGTTACACATTCAAAACCTAGCATAAAGTTTATGTGTAAAACTTTGATATCTCTTAAAACTCACTAAATTTTAACAATCAGGCATTTTTCATTCATTCAGCATGACCAACTTTATATCTTTTTTAATATAACCTGTATGACTACAAAAACTTAGTTTATAATAAAGTTTAAGCGTACATTTAAAAAGACAAACTTTATAACCTAGGTATGTTATTAAAGTTAAATAAGAAGTTTTTATACCTAATACACAACAAAGTTTTCTTTCTATGCAATATTAGGATGCTATCCGAACTAGGTATTTTCCGAACCAGTGATAAATACAAAAATTACCCAATAACTATTATGTAAAATCTATATTGAATAAATATCATTCTATTCTATTCTATTCCTATGAATATTGTACATACAACTATGTGGATTAATGCAAGATTTATTTAGTCACTAACACTACAGAACTACAGAGAGTTGGCTGTTTGAAAATCAGCTGATAGTAAAATACACTCGGGCCACTCTCAGCTTTCTGGCTTTGCCCTTTGTTGATGGTCATAGAGTAACATAAGCTGGTATGCAAATGTAATAACTGTTGGAGTAGATGTCATGGAATTGATACTGAACTTAGATAAACATAACATAACAGCCTAGCATAACAGACTAGATTTTTTTTTTTTATAGGAGAGGGGGCATACGAGCATGCGGCTCACCTGATGGTAAGTGACTACCGCCGCCCATGAAAAACTGCAACACCAGGGGAATTGCAGATGCGTTGCCGGCCTTTTAAGAAGGAGTACGCTCTTTTCTTGAAGGTCCCTAAGTCGTATCGGTCCGGAAAAATCGCTGATGGTAATCGATTCCACAAGGAGGTCGTGCGAGGAAGAAAACATCTTCTAAATCGCACAGTGGTGGACCGCCAATCATCCAGATGGTGTGGATGGTATCGGGAGTTCTGCCGCGATGTGCGTTCGTGAAATTTGGCGGCTGGGATTAATCCGAACAATTCCTCAGAGCACTCCCCATGGTAGATGCGAAAGAAAATGCAAAGGGATGCAACATCTCTTCGCAGTGCCAATGAATCGGAAAGGGCTCGGTCGTCGACGATTCGAGCTGCTCTGCGTTGGATACGGTCAAGTGGAAGGTGCTGGCACTGGGGAGCCCCTGCCCAGAGATGGGAACAGTATTCCATGTGAGGCCGAACTTGCGCCTTGTAAAGTAGCAGGCGGTGTGCCGGCATGAAATACTGTCCCGCTCTGCTGAGCACGCCAAGCTTTTTAGAGGCCAATTTGGCCTTCCCTTCCAAGTGACCACAAAACTGCACGTCACTCGATATGTCGACTCTGAGGATACCGATACTGGCTGAGGCAAGAAGGGGAGTGCCTTGAAACTGAGGAGATACGACAAAGGGGTTCTTTTTAGCGGTAAACGCGCAAACTTGTGTCTTCTGAGGATTAAATTGGAATAGATTTAATCGCCCCCAATCCGAGACTTTGTTCAGCAAAGACTCGACTTCAGACACAAGTTTGTTCCGGTACTCAGCGACGTTTTCCCGAGAAATATTGGCACGGCCGGTGTATAGAGCATCACCAGTGCTGTCATCCGCATAGCAATGAATGTTACCAGTTAGCAACATATCATTGATATGCAGAAGAAACAGCGTTGGTGATAGCACACAGCCTTGTGGAACACCAGCGTTAATAGGCTTGTAGTCAGAGCATGCACCGTCTACAACGACCTTGATGCTCCGATCTGCAAGGAAGCTGGTGATCCAATTGCACAATTTCTCGGGAAGCCCATAGGAAGGGAGCTTCGAAAGAAGCGCTTTGTGCCAAACCCGATCGAAGGCCTTCGCAATGTCCAGACTAACGGCCAACGCCTCCCCCTTGGACTCTACTGCCTCCGCCCATCTATGGGTCAGGTAGACCAGAAGATCACCAGCTGATCGACCCCGACGAAAACCGTATTGGCGGTCACTAATCAGCTGGTGATCCTCAAGGTACCGGATGAGCTGGCAGTTAATAATGGATTCCATTATTTTGGAGAACAAGGAGGTGATCGCGATAGGCCTATAGTTGGATGGGTCTGAGCGGTCGCCTTTTTTAGGGATCGGGTGGACAAAAACTGTCTTCCATGAATTCGGGACTACGCCTTGGGAGTAGGAGTACCAGAAAAGACGCGTTAGGACCGGTGCCAACTCCGGAGCACACGTCCTCAGCACAATTGGGGGGATTCCGTCAGGCCCACTCGACTTCTGGATGTCCAGGGCGAGCAGTGCTTTGCGAACCGAGCGCTGTGAGAACAGCACATCCGGCATGGAGCACTCACATCGCGGGATGGTCGGCGGTGTTTTCCCCCCGTCATCAAGAGTCGAGTTGGACGCAAAAAGGGAGCCTAAAAGGTCGGCTTTGTCTTTTGCGTCATGGGCCAGTGAGTCATCCTCCCTGTGCAGAGATGGTAGTGATGGCTTACAGAAATTCCCTTGGACAGCCTTGGCGAGAGACCAGAATGCACGGGTTCCCGAAGGAAGGCGAACTAGTTTCTCGCCAATTCTGCCTATGTGCTCTGACTTTGCCTTGGCAATAACTCTTTTGAAGGACCTGGAGGCGAAGTTATACTTCTTTTTAAGTGTGCTGGTATTTACATCCCGAGTCACCGAAGCCGCAGCCCAGGCTTGATAACACTCCTGCTTACTGCGTAATGCAGTCTTACAGGAGTGACCAAACCAAGGCTGAGATCTGCCTCCGATGGGTACCACAGGTCATGGAATAAATAGTTCCATTCCCTGTAGCACCACATCAGTGACAGAGTCAGCAACAGCGCTGGGATCATCCGGCGAGAAGCAAACCCGCCCCCATGGGTAGGATGCAAAGAAGGACCGCATTCCATCCCAATCCGCCGACCTGTAATGCCAAACACGGCGGCAACCTGCAGAACGCAACCGCGAAGGGAGCGTGAGTGGCACCACACTCCGGATCAGACAATGGTCCGAAGAGCCGAGAGGGGCATCGACGGAAACCTGATATCCGTCCGGATGAGAGGTCAGCAGAAGGTCCAACAGGGAAGGTGTATGATCCTCCACATCTGGAATCCGCGTAGGCGAAGTAACCAGTTGTGTCAGACCATATGCCAAGGCAAAGTTATAAACAGATCTCCCCGCATGATCGGTTAGACGTGAACCGAGCCATTCGGCATGGTGGGCGTTAAAATCGCCAAGGATCACGATCTCTGCGGATGGGACCTGTTGTAGCAAGAAATCTGTAGCCATTTGGACGTGGTCGATGAGTCGGTCTGTTTCGGCATTACCGCTATGGGACCTATAGAGGCACCCGTAGACGCGCGGATGGTCGTCGCTGTCTACGCGTAGCCAAAGGATGGACAGGTCCGAACCTTCAAGACTGCCGAGGCGTCGAGAACAGATGTCCTCTCTGACATACACGCAAACTCCAGCCCGAGGCACAAAGGAATGCTCCAATTTGTACCCCGGGTAGGAGAGATACGAAATATCAGCCGGAGAGGAAACCTGCGTCTCGGTCAGAAAGAGCAAGGCCGGCTTCGCCATCTCGAGATGGTAGTGGACGGCGTTTAGGTTAGAGTGAAGTCCCCTGATGTTGCAGAAATTCACGGATAGCGTGGCAGGGGTCGCCTTGGTGTTCTTGCTCAGTTTGCCCCTAGCAGTAATGCTTTTGAGCGGAATTTTGCCCCCCCCCAGAATACGCGGGGCAGCCTGAGCACCCACGCTCAGGATCGGAATAACATGGTCGTGGATGCTCAGCGAGGGATTCTCCAGGGGTGCTGGTACCCTCCTGGGGTAGTTCTTCGTGTAATTCCGCTACCATGTTGATGGGGGAGGGGGGGGGGGGGGGAATTGGGCCTCCGGCCACCTGCACTCACCAGACGAAACGCAGAAGCAAAGCTTCTACTTCACGCCGGTATTCTGTGAGGTCGTGGTACCAACCCGGCTCGAGCCGGCCCATACATGCAACAGCAAAACTGCTGCGTGGCTCTACCACCGTTAAATTTGGGAAACAATTGGGAAAAGGAGGATGGTACCAAATTTGTGTGAAGTTAAATTGGGCTTAGTGGCTTGCCTTGGTAGGCCTGTTATTCAGTGGACTGCTGCAGGCTGATGAAGATGTGTTATATTAAATTTTCAGAGTACATTGACTAGATAACATTAGCAATAATTAAAAATCCATATATTATGAAAATAGAACAACCTTATAAAATACATGCATTTTAATTAGATGGTATGTTTTAGGATGGGACTTCAACACAAGGCAAATTCGCTGGGGTTGGAGCCGATTCAGTATTATGTATTGCTGAACAGGTAGCTGTAGAGCTTACTGGGGAAGCAGCTGCAAACCTTGCCGAAGATGTCAGTTACAAGCTTCGGCAAACAATCTCTGTAAGCATGTTATTGATAATAATTTATCTGCTAAGATAATTTGACTTGTCACTATTCTATCGTCCTATCAATATTCAACTGCAGAATATAGATCTTCCTCACAAGTTGCCTCTCTTGGCATATAGATGCTGCTATCCATCTTCAGTTTCAGTTTACTCTGTCACCTCTTACACTACCCACTGGATGATATGGGATAGTGAATTCTTTTACGCCGCCACTACAAAGTACATTTCACTTTTCTACGGATTTCAAAAAGGAGACGGTACTAAATTCGATTGTATGTTTTTTTATGTGTGTTACTTCATAACTTTTTACTGGTTAAACCAATTTCAATGATTCTTTTTTATTTGAAAGCTGGTGCTTCACATGTGGTCCCATATAAATTTGATTAAGGTCTGACCAAAAGTTTTTGAGTTATCTATACAAATAAATAAAATTGAAGTGTCTGTTTGTAATGTCAAAATTACAGTTTTTTACTAAATGCATATGAAAGTAAATACGATACCTATAACTAAAATACAATTTTTAAAATTTTTGTCTGTCTGTCTGTCTGTCTGTCTGTTTGTTCCGGGTAATCTCCGAAACGGCTGGACCGATTTTGACGGGACTTTCACTGGCAGATAGCTGATTTCATAAGGAGTAACATAGGCTACTTTTATTTTAGAAAAAGAATCAGGGTTCCGCACAGAAACATAAAAACCCTAACACGCGAACGAAGTCGCGGGGGATTTCTATTAATCAAATTAATCCCTATGCAATCAATGCATCTTTCGAATCTAACGCGGTGGCAGTTTATTGATGCCCTTCTTTAATAAATTAGCTGGGTGTGAGGCAACAAATTCTTCAAAAGCATTTTGTACTGCCTCTCGGGTATTGAAATTTTTCCCCGCCAAAAAGGTATCCAAATTCTGGAAAAAGTAGAAGTCTGTAGGAGCAAAGTCTGGTCGGTATGACTAATGACAGAGAGCTTCCAACCTCAGCTCTTGTAACTTTTAGACTGTCTGTTGTGCTGTAGGAGGTCGCGCGTTGTCGTGCAGGACGCAGCGGGGACGAGTGATTGACCACAGCTAGTTGGAGACATGCGAGCTTCTTCATCATTGTGTGCAGTTTTTCACATTACACATCTGCAGTAATGTAAGAAGCTGAGATGAATCACCACCAAACAGTGACCATCACTTTTATAGGGGATAATGTCAGTTTAGGGCATTGCTTAGGTGCTGAACCAGGATCCAACCAACTTGCTGAGCACTTGCAATTGTCAAATAGAATCTACTTGTCGTCGCATGTAATAATGTGGTTCAAAATTACTTAATTTGTGTGCCTGTTGAGCCATCCAATCCACGTCTCGACGCGTACTTCGCGCTAGCGATCATCGTGGGGCATCCATTTGTCAAGCTTTTTTACCTTGCTAATTTGACCTAAATGGACCAATATTGTTTTGATGCTAACATTGATAACTTGAGTACCGTCAGCTTTCACAATCGCCTTCAATTCGTCATTATCGACCAAAGTATTCGGACAACCGCGGGGCTCATTTTTCAAGTAGGGAAGAAGGAAAACCAATAACAGGTGGTGCGTTCGTTTGTAGTATTCACTCCGTAAACGTCGTTAACGTTGCGTGCCGATTGTGCCGCGTTGCTGCCTCGACGGTACTCATATTCCATAATTACTCGAATTTTTAACGAATCTATGATGACGAAAAAGATTAAAATGCGATGAAAACATATAATCAATAAACAAATTACTGATTTAAAAGAAAGCCATGTTTTTAAAATAAAATTAATTTGCAATTAGAATTCTTTTTTTTTTATATAGGGTGACAAACGAACACACAGTTCACCAGATGGTAAGTGGTTGCTGAGTCCCATAGACATCTACATCTATCCTCGTTTGCGAATTAAAATACAGATGCGTTGTCACCCGTGAAGACTAAGATGGAATGCCTCTTTTTCAGTAAAAAGGGTCTCCGGTTCTCTACACTCACCATAGGATACACAGCAGTGTTAAGCTGCTATTTAACACTGGTATTCTGTGAGAGCGCGGTTCTTCCCCAGTCGAGCCGACACATTCGTGCTACAACTATACTACTAATATAGCTGCAGCATGTCTCTACCACGTACAAACTAATTCTTAGCCAAACAAAAATTATTTTGATTTGAAATGGCCTATTATATATTTGGTAAGGTGAATTAAACACACTTTTTACCTTCAACGAAACAGAATTGATAGACACTTAATATGAATTTAAATTGTTTTTTTTTTTAAATCTACCTTTCTGTTATTATTATTACAGACCATTGCATTACACAGTGAGATGATGAAGAAGAGCCGTGTAGACTCATGGGATGTTAACACAGTTTTCACTCTGTCTGATACTAGTCCCGTTGTTGGCACCACTAACACTCCATATGCACCAGTTGGTGAAGAAAAATTATGTTTCCAAACTGTAAGTATAACCAAGGTGTCTGTGCATTCTATAAAAAGAACAACATAAACTCACACCTTTCACCCAGAGGAGTAGGTAGAGACTATGGACGACTTCAATTTATTTATATATGTATTTATACAATGTGTTCCGATACTCAATGTCAAGAAGGCGCAGAGCAAGAGGGGGGAGGCTATACCAGCCCCAGGAAAAATAAAAAATCCATATCAGTTCAGTTGCAACTAACAAATTTAAGGAAAATCGACAACTTAAATAGGTAATGTCATTACATATTGTGACCACAAATTTCTCGATTTTACAGTGACTTTTTCACTACCGTTAAAACATTTTAGATAGCAATATATGGAAATATTGACAAAATTAATGGAGACTTCTATCTATTGGTATATGTACGTTATGGACTGAAGTTAAATTTTATCCACTCTCTTCAGGACCTCTCCCTCCGGGAGGGGTCCTGGGTGAGCGTCACTCCCCCATGCTTGAGAAAGTGTCCCTAAGAGCGATTTTTTTCAGTTTTTAAGAAATCCGTACATGGTTTCAAGACAGAATCTTGAAAATATTTTTCCCGGTGCGGTATGGTGCCCCCCCTCCTGCCCCGTCAAATTTAAAACTTGGTGATATATGTGAAGCAGGCATGTGATATATGTAAAATTTGCAATACTTTTAAAAATCTATTATTTGTTTATTACAACTCAATGTATACTTATAATTATTTTTCAAACCGAGGGTTGGAATGATTAAAGAGGTGATAATCAAATTTTACCATTACCATTCACAATAGTCATTACAGAATTTTACAAGTACACTGCTGAACATAGGCTTCCACCAAAGAATGCCATATAGCACGGTCCTGAGACAGCTGTATTCATAGACTTCCTGCATATCTTACCAGGTCGTCACTTCATTTAATGGGGGGTCGCACGAGGTTGTCACTCCGAAACCTATTACTATTACAAACTTTCAACTGCTGAACCTCCTCCTCGCCTATAGGCCAGGTTTGTCATAGTTGCCATGCTTGGCAAGTGGGTTCTGAACTGCAGTGTTTTTATTATTCCGTATTGTTATCAGGAAGATACTACTGCGCTTAAAATGTTTCATCACTGTCTGTCTCCTCTAACGACACCCACGGGATGATATGGGGTAGTGGATATTTTTAATTAAAATTATGGGGTCCTTAAAAAATAGACGGCATAATTTAACATATAAGTTGACACAGTATAATATGGTAAGGCAGTAATGTTTTGTGTGTACCCCTATTGGAATTATTTTTTTAGAAGTCACAATACAAATAAGTAGTAGATGAATAGTTATTATAACAATTCATTGTTGCCATATGTTTTCTATATCATAAATTTAATACATGGAAAACTAATTATAGTTAAAAAATTATGTAAACCAATGAGGGCTAATAATTTTCTGCTCACCAGATGTCGCTAGTTGATACTGAGGTAAAGGTTTTTTGTTACATGTTTATGTCAATTTAATTGAGAAGTTGTTTTTCAATAAAAGTTTATCAGTTTCTAGACTATTACATTAATACACAAAACAATGTGTCAGTGTTTTGCTGTTTAATTTTTTGCACATTTTTAACTTTTTGTGATTTTTCTACTTTTATGGATATCTGTGTTTTGGTTTATTTATTTTTAATATTATTAATATAAAAGCTAATAGTACGGAAAGAAACAATAACTTTTACATTTTCCGAACAAATTAACTTTCCCTCTATGAAATCTGTCAAATATTATACCCCATTTTCTAGTGGCGCCACACTAGTGGCAGAAAAAGTCCTGGATGCCCTTATTCATAAAACATAAAACATTATTGTAGCATTATCAGTTGAACTAACATATTTTCAAATACATTTGCAGGAAAATATTCTAAATGTAACTGAATTCGCCATGACTCCTCAAACCTACGTATTTTCAACGCTCCCCACTGTATCAGTGGAATGGATCACAGACGACAGAAGTTTAAGTAATAACAGTAATATAAGCTTTAATTTGCAGAACTACTACACGAAAGTTGCAAGAGGTTTGTAGTTATTAATATTTATATACATTTACATGCATCTTTATATTCATTTTATTTGTTTAGCATAAAATAGAATAATCATTGTCTTTGTCATCCCTTTGTCGTATCTCCTCAAGTTCAGGGCACTGTAAGCTCATTCCGCGTAGATTGAAACAAAAATTAATATTAAAAAAACTGAAGGTAGCCGGGCTAACTGACATCGCGACGTCAAACATCTCAGTCGCCCCCGCGACCATGAGTGCTGTAAAGCACCCGAAACGTCGGGAATTAAATTAAGTAAATTAAACGTGATAGAATCCGTAAAGATAGTTTTATTCAATGTGTAGTGCTCGTGTAAATTAAAGATATCATTAAAATAAATCTTGTTTATAACTAAAGGTATTAAAGAAAACATTTAAAAGTAAAAAATGCACAGGAATTACTTATCATATCATCTTCGGGAATAATTACTTTTCATCAAGTGGGATAGCAGTCAAGCAATAGCTCTGAAAAATACCATATAACAATTTCTATTTTCTGATTTACAGCAATACTCAATTTAAAAAGGAAACCTAAGCAAATAGCAGTGGAGGATCTGACAACAAACACGAGGATCGGACCGATATTCCCGAATCTCTTCAATCTGGCCGTCCTAGTGCTGAATGATGACAACCTGAAGGCTCTCAATGTTCCTGCAAAGAAACCTCTCCAGTCCAACGTGTTGGATATGGTCGACGCTCTCTGTTCTAATCCTTGTAGCTTGGACACGAATATACAGCAGCAGGTGAATCTTATTATTAATTGATACCTTACAAATGGATTCGGGTTTCTTTTAATTAACTTCGTCTTTCGTAATGCGTTCAGCAAAGGAGTGGAGTAATTTGCCGGCGTCTATCCTTTTTTTTTATAGCATAAGGGTGACAAACGAGCACACAGTCCACCTGATGGTAAGTGGTTGCTGCGGTCCATAGATATCTACATTTATCCTCTATTACTAATCAAAATGTAGATGCGTTGTCACCCATGAGGACTAAGATGGAATGCCTCATATCCAGTAAAAAGGGCCTCCGGCCACCTGCACTCACCAAGCGAAACGCAGAGGTAAACCTCTACTTCACGCTGGTTTTCTGTGAGGTCTTGGTACCACCCCGGTTCGAGCCGGCCCATCCGTGCGACAGCAAAAGCTGCCGCATGGCTCTACCATCTTTCCGTCCGTATACAATTTGGGCGTCTTCAAGGCAAGAGTGAATAGGCTTTTGTTACGCTAAGACAGTGCGTGTTACCATCTAGGACTGCATCACCACTTACCACCAAAGAAAAAAAAAAGGGGCAACTTATTGTAATTATTAAGCTTGTTAGACAGGGAACCTGTTCTGGGGTTCTTATGCATTTCCTGTTCCTGTGGTATTTCGGTTGGTACAACCCCTCATCTCTTTCTCACGTAACCTGTCTGGTTTTCTTTGTTTTAAGATGGTTGGTATGGTCCATGGGCTGCCTTTTGTGTCTCTCAAATATAAAAACGTTTAATGACCACATTTTTACGGATGTATAATATAGATATAAGAGATATAGATATCAGAGAATGAAGGCTCCTCTGATATCTATATCTCGCCTTTTATCGCAGTATAAGAGAAATTTTTTTGGCATTCTTTTTTTTAATATTGAATTAATATACGACATTGATACATTGGACATTCTTACACCGCCACTACACAGTTTATATTGGACTATGTCTCAAAAAAATTCTCAAAATCTATTGTTATATAGAAGTCAGTATAATTAAACCGGATTTGATTTATAATATTTTTGCACTTAATTAACAATATTTGCTTTCAGTTTCAGCGATTGTTCCCGGTGATGGTATCAAATATATTGGGAAATGGATCTCTAGCCGAGAAAATGGTGGCGATTTTGACGAAAATCACACGTACTTGGCCGTCATTCATAGCAATTGGTAAGTGACATAACTTTAAAAATAATTATATACAATATATAAACAACATTCTGTCCGATCCGAACATGGCATATATATATATAGGTACCGCAATGGTAATATCGAAAAACAAATTAAAACATTTTGTTGCTCATGAATATAAAAATGTTATTGTTATTTAAAAACATGTTTTTACTACAATATGCTTAAATTTCAACAAAGTATGAAAGTCTGGTAACACCGTCGTTGCCGACAGTGTGTTTGAATATGCGGCGTTATCATTAACTAAACGGCCGTCCGCGTCGCATATATTACCTTCTAAGTTTCCCCATTTAAATTATTATCTTTATATATTCTCTAAAAAGGATTACATGAACATAATCATAATATTAAAATACCATCTAAAAGTACCCTCATGAAACGGACAAGGATTATATATTGTAGAACAATCCATAAACCTTGTAATGTGGTAGAGCCACGCTGCAGATATATTATGGCTTGTGCCGGCACAATTTTTGATCGGAGACGTTATTGTGGCTCTCCGTAATAACGCCGTCCGGGTAGATGAAGGTAGTTCGCCAAGTGGACTGCCGAAAAAGAAGAGGAAAGTGGAATTAAACACCATTACGACACGAATCCTGTACATCATTAAGCCTAACATTAAGTTGTCTGGCTCGTTAGTCTAGTGGTTGAAAACGAGACTGCTTATCTTGAGGTCACGCGTTCGAATCCCGGGCCAAAATCAGTTATTAAGATTTTACTGTCATGAAGTTCTCAGTAGTAGCCTGGAGTCAAGAAGTTGGATGTGTTTCACGACCGTGCCTCGTGAAGCACGTAAAGCCGTTGGTCTTGAACCTAACCACTCCGTTCGTGTAGGATTGTATTCCCATCGGACTATGAGAGTGAGAGAATAGAGAGTACACCTGTGCTTGCGTATACAGTCGGACACTATAATCCTGTCCCGCGCTAAATGGCTAGCCTCCATTGAAGCTGTCGTGAACGAAATTCGGACTGAAGGGCACACATTAATCGTTTACAAAAGACCTGTAAGTGCGAGTGAGTGCGCAATATGTCCTGCTCGCTCACACGTTGTGTAAAGCATCTCTCACTGGTTGCCTTGTTCCAGGTAAAGGCATTCTTTTCGACTACCTCTCGCAAGGTACAAAGGAGCGTCTCACGGCGCCGATGATTCGTTGCGTGACGGCTTTGGGCAGGAGGGCGCTCATTACTTGTCTGGCAGACCATCTGGACCACTTGGACTCGCTTATACACACGCCCCGAAGAACGCATGCGATGCCTGACCTCAGGGAAACTATACTAGTAAGTATGAAGTGCCGTATAGTGGTAGTGTAGGAGAATTATATGCCCCAAGTCGTCCACTGGGTTGCCTTAGAGGTGACAGAGGGAAAATGAAACATGAGATGTGAAGTTTATAAGAACAAAAAACTTGTCAACCCGCCTGGGTAATTTTACATGTATGCATGCCAAGCATGAAAACTATGTCAAATCCATAGACATGACCAGTCTAGCCCCCCTTTGAGACTATCTATGGGTGACTATCTATATATACGTGTGTGGGCGTGTATCCAACTACATATGTTTACGCGCTTCATACGCGTTTTTGTACCGCACGTTTGTATATTACTGTTAAAAAGCTACTAGTGTTAAACATATTTTTAAAATTAAAAAAAAATGCACTCTTATTATATTTACCAATCAAGACTTTGACCAGACTTTGACAGAGAAGAATTTGACCAATCAAGAAACCATTATGTATATGATTTTTCTGTCCATGTGTATGTGATTGAACTACGAAATTTTGTGCGTGATTAAGTATATTCGAGAGTGGTTTAGATTCACAATTGGACTCGGTAGGTGGTACTGTTGTCGAGATATAGAAATCACCCGTGCAAAGCCTTATAATTATTAACAGAAACAATGAAATTTACCGCTCAAAATAAATTACAGCTTTTTATTTTATGTCAACAGGAGGCCTCGACGTGCTTACTAAGATCTGAACCGACAACGTTCCTTGAAGATTTCGTAATGACTGACTACACACTATACGAAATGCTCGGAGACTCCATAATGCCACGTCGGACGCTATTTCCATACAAACGTAAGTTTTTATCATAAGTATTTAATAGATCGTGTGAGATGGAAGATGTGGTTTAATTTGGGAGGTTTTAATTGCAATAGTATAACACTGTAACAAAAAAAGTGTGTGTGTGTACTTATGTACGCACGTAGGAAGTTATACTTCTTTAGCGTAACAAAACAAAAAAACTTTAGAGACATTTACCAACTGAAGTTGTCACTTTTAGGTGTCGGTGTGCCCGCGCATCTAAAAAAATAACTCATCATTTTTTCCTAACGCCCCAAAAGAAGTATAACTTCAATAATCTTTTGAGGTTTATGTAGGGTAGAGATTTTGCAATAGAATACGTCAATCCATTTCTTTTCATAAGTGTTGTATGAGTCGATAATGAGAAATGCTAACAACTTGTTATAGCATCAGATAGATCAGTGATGTAGCTGAGGGTCTGGGGAGGGTGTCTCAATATACCCCAGTAACATAAACAGTTAAGAATAAATACAAAATAACACAAAATAGAAAAAGTACATAGGTATTCTAAGTAGTAATAAAAGGATTTTTAATTGAGAATAAATTTAAGTGCCTATAGGCCACAGCATTCACTTACCATTCAGGTGGACTGTGTGTTCGTCTTTTATTTCTATAAAAGTTAAGTTGGTATCCTAGGCGATGTGAGTGCTTCATCCACGTAGAACAATGCTTCAGCTGTATTAGCCTTAGAGTATTTATAAGCCAGCTATAGAGCGCGCGTAGCGCTCATTGCCTATTATGCCAACTGTAAACATGTGTTCTATAGATGCTGATAAATAGATGAAGCGGTTAAATAGTGATGCATCATGATTGACGCATTTATGTGTTAATTTAATTAAACAACATCGGTCACGGACGTGAACTGGCTATAAAATATCGCGAAAATGACTAGTGTATGGATTAATCCGTTCCCCTAGGCACAATCTCAATCCTAAATTGAAAATATATTATTTAAAAGCCGTGGATCATATAAAGTTACCCTCATGTACTTCGACAGTTTTGAGGTTATGATGTAATAAGTCTGCAGTCATGTCTACAACTTCTGTTAAAACCATTGATATGAAATGCAGTATGCAGTAATATATACTTAACTATATAAGTCAATGGCTAAAACCACAAAATGAATCAATAGCATTTCTATTCATTTCACTGTTAAGTATCTAAGACACCTTTGACATTTTGTGTTTTTTTATTACTACTGGCAAGATCGCCAAGTGTCACGATCCTTACTATGTAAGAATCTGTTCTCTCTGGCTACCCCGTCAGGGCAAAGGTATCTCACTCAGCCTATACAGTCTAACTGCAAGTGACTTATTTTATAAAATTATGTACAATATGTTGATGCGTCACATGCTAAGTTTTTAGGAGTTTGAAGACAGCTTAAAAGACAAAAGACATCTAAAAATAATGTTATTGATAATACACTACAAAAATAAATAAAAAAATCTACAATAAAATCTAGTATTTAAAAAAAGTAAATGTATAATGTTAGTGTTACATTAGTGTTCTAATGAAATGTGTACCTTACATAAAAATGGGACGGGTTTATTTAGTAGATGCGTTCAAAACCTATAAAAAGTAGTAAGGAAATGAGGTTTTTATTACGAAGCTAAATTATTTTACCGACTCCAATAAAATAAGCTGGAGTCCGTAATTTAATATACACCTAAGCCACTATTTTTTGACGTATCAATCATTGGTGGTCGTTTCATTTTTAATTCACGGCTTTTCGGAAAACTGAAATTAGGTAAATATTTAACCGCATTAAACTTTGTCATGTTCCTATATAACAAAGCTATTAAATGTTTTATTTTATGATCCATGTGGGTTCGGAATACAAAGAATCTTTACTTCTTATACTATAATTATATTATAATCATTACGAAAGAAATCATGTTATTAAAAAAATATACGATACTCTAACTCGGGGAAAACCATGAAGTTATAGATAAACATGGAGACCACACTCCGAATACCTACTTGAAGCTTAACCTATGTATTACTATCTCGCTCTCTGTGGGCAGACCCTCCCTTTCCAAATAGGTAACCTTTATTTTATTTTTCCCAGGATATCGCCATATGTAGTTGCATTACATTAAGTGGTTTATTTATAAATATCTACATATCTGTTTACTACTAAGACCTAGCCTATATAGATTATATATTTTTGTACAATGTTTTTTTGGGAATTGAGTAGTTTTATGAAGAAAGGTTTTCATTTCCATGGGCACAACCGGTATCTAAAATATGACCACGCATTTTCGTTACAACCCATATAATACCGAGCCTATTTAGAAAATGTGGAAAATAAATATATCAGATAATATTTTATAACTACCATTTCGATAATGTATTTTCTGGTTATTGTATACAATTCCTAAACGGTACCAACGAAATATAAAATTAAAATTTATTATAACACCCCGAGTGATCAATGAATTGGGCAAAATATACCTGATTTATTGTCCAGACAGACTAAATCTATTTATGGACAGTTATTTAATTTTTTTTATCACGAAGACTAAAGGAGCGTAGCGGAGCTCCTGCCTTAGCCTTCTGACCTTACCCATCCGAGTCAGACTGCTCTGAGCTGAAAGGTGTATATTCCATACAACCTGTTCATTTTAAGAATTACCTACAATTCCTAGGAATACTATATAATGACGGATTTCATAGATTTCTAGTAGCATATGTAATATAATAGGAATGGTAATATATAAAAAAAAACTTATAAAATAAATAAAAGCACTTTCCATATCAAAATCATTTATTGATATTTTTCTATTATACATGACTTAATATCATTGCTATGTGTAGTTTCTGTCTCTTACCACTTAAATCGCTGAGTATGTTTTCTGTATAAATCTTTATTTGAGCACGTATACGCATATTAAAAAATGAATTAGCTATTTTCTTAGCTATCATTGTTTCATGCAAATCATTACAATTAATTGCGTGATGGAATATTTAAACATTCCCTGCAATAGAGAAGTAAAATGTTGTGACACAACATTAATTAATTTGTTTTCAATGTTATTGGCTCTAAGTTGGCCAATCAAATTAGCTCGTTGGAAAACTTGGTCACAATCTTTTCCTTAAGTGCAGAACTACTTTCATAAATGCCAGAAGTAGTGCTTGGTACCGCCAGAACAGCTATTTGCACCATAGACTCTTCATGTTATGCACTTGTTGTCTGCAAATGATAAATGTTGCTTTATATCATAGATTTAAACTACTACAATTCTAAATACGAAACTTAATCTCTAATTACGTAAAATACATAATTAAATTATATTAAATTTTTACCTTGCCTGGTGATACTGTTTCTTGATTTATTGTGACAGTAGGAACTGCTATTGGTTTTAAGCGCCTTGTTGTTGTATCATAATCTAATTCTAGACAATGCAAATTGCAAATCCTTGCACTTTGATAATACTTCATTTTCGATGGTACAATGGATAACCACAAATTTCTCCGAGTACTGTTTTAGGAAATCTAAAAAAAAGTATTCGTAATTATTGTACTCGTTATTAAAGTATCAGAATAATGAGGAACAAAACTAAATAAAAAGTAAATTGTCTGCCAAAAGAATATATTATGTTACAAATTAATAATTATGAAATCTATGAAATCCGTCATTATATAGAATACATTGGAATTGTATATAATTCCTAAATTTCATGCATTTCCGGTAACATAAGAAACGTACATATAATTAGTTAAGGTCACACGGAAAGTCTCAGATACATCCTCAATATGGTCACACTACTTCAGTGCGATTTCTTTTAAACAAAAACAATAAAATTGTTCAAAGTCAATTAAATTCAATGTAAAACTATTTGATTTTGACAAAGTTATAATTTACTAATATGTTTAAAACACTGGTAAAATGTTTCAAAAATTAAATAAAAATACAAAGAAGTATGTTTACAAGTATTCAATGCCAGAAGTCACTAATTAAACACTTACGCGTGAAATCTTATATCACCTCCTGGACACCAACAACTGCAGCAACCACGCACCACACAAGTTTACACCATTTCTTGAATTATAACAATAATTAACTTTAATTATCTCAAACGACGATGTGAACTGTTAAGTAAACAACCGCCATATTTGTCTAACTCTAATTTATGTTGACATATAGGGCTAATGTTGCCACATTACCGAACCTTTAAGAAATGGGATTGTAATTCACTGATTCGTTAACCCAATAATGCATACGAGAACTTCAATTTTGGAATTTTTATTGTAATTAATCGTAGTTCAACTATTTATTTATTGGTACATTATTTTACAGAGCTTAACTTCTGATTTGATTATTGTTGAAACTATTCCTAAGAATTTACCAGGAGATTTAAATAAAAACATAGCAATACTGTATTCCACACTAAAAAGAGAAGTCAGACCACAGAGAGTGAGATAAAGATACGTAGGTATTTGACTCAAGCTGTTGTTCCAAGTGTGGTCTCCATCTTTATCTATTACTTCATGGGGAAAACCCGAAGCGCGAGGCACGGGGCACGTATTGTGTCGGCCCCGCCGTGCGCCTCCCGCCTACATCCTTTGACGCACTAAGTAATTTTGTTAAAATCAGTGTTTTCTTATCGAAATATAACAAACCGATGAAAAGTAACATCGTAGTTCTTATTTTGCTTCCGAGAATCGTTTTTGCAGCGTGGCACTGCAATTTTCACCATGATAACTAAAACTTTTATTAAATATCGTCCAGTGAAATAATTGCGCGTGAACTTTGACTAATAACGTCGTCCTGGCCATTTCGAGACTGTTCCAATGCGTGTTTACAGTTCTGGCTTGCTTACACGCGCTCTATAGTTTGCTTATAAATACTCTAAGGTATCACCCTAATCATAAGTAAAAAATTAACGAATAATCTTAAACATATTTGTATTTTCAGAAGCCTTACATAACGATAATGCAAACACGGAGAAATCGACAGACGAAGAGTCCTCGTATGTACCCATACGACCAATCCTGAAGCATGCTAATGTTAGAATATTGCCAGTAACAAGAAAAATGAGGAACCCACTTCACAGAGACGCCGTGTTCGAAGCGACGAAGTTTTCAATAGATAAATCGCGGCGTATACATTTAAAGATTAAAAACTGTAGGTCTAAAGAAATATCACAGAGGCCAAGTACGGACAGAGTTCATTTTAGTGTTAGTACAAGAAGAAGTGGTGTGGTAATTGCTAGTGGACTCTTAAATAGGTTTAGGTATAGATTGAACAAGCCTAGTGAACCATTTCCAATATTTGGAGCTTTAATGATGTGATTTATTGTATAAGTAAACTATTTATTACCTTTTGTGTTTATTTTTTTTGAAATAAAAACTTCTTTAGATTCGCGATTTGAAACTTTGAAATGAAAGCGACTAAAAAGAGACAAACATATACAACTACGAGTATAGGATTTAGCCTGTGAGAGAATGAGATGATATACGAATACAGTATTTTTTATTTTATTCTTTTTGGAAAACTTACAGCTAACATTAACAGTAAATAAATGAATAACAACTAGAAGGCCATTTAAAAGTTTTCACCTATAGATAATGTGAACTTAAAAACAATAACTCTAGTCGGTAAAAGATTAACATCGATTAAGACAAATATAGTGAATTAACAAAATTAAACAGAAGAACACCCTACAAAAGAATTTTTCGCCATAATATTTTTGATTCGAGAAACACCGGTACAGATCCAAGTCAACGCTATTGTAAATGCCATTAAAAGTTCTGCATGCACGTATCATAAAAGAATTTTGTCTGTATTTATTCCGGATATGTGGCATGTGGAGTAAGCGAGACTTACTTAATAGGATAGCTCTTGTTGTAAAGCCTAACTTACTCAGTAGCTCCAGACAGTCAACATTCATTCATCATCATTACAGCCCTTCACAAGTCCACTGCTGAACATAGGCCTCCCCCAAAGAATGCCACAAAGCACGGTCCTGAGCCACCTGCATCCATCGACTTCCTGCATGTCTTACCAGGTCGTTACTCCATCTCGTGGGGGGACGCCCTACACTTCGCCTACCGGTACGAGGCCGCCACTCGAGAACCTTTCTTCCCCATCGGTTGTCGGTTCTTCGAGCTATATGGCCGGCCCACTGCCACTTCAGCTTACTAATCCGTTGGGCTATGTCGGTTACTCTGGTTCTACTGCGGATATCCTCATTCCTAAGTTTATCACGCAGAGAAACTCCGAGCATAGCCCTCTCCATAGCTCGCTGAGCGACCTTGAGCTTTCTCATCCGGCCAGCAGTGAAGGACCACGTCTCAGTTCCGTAAGTCATCACTGGCAACACGCACTGGTTGTACAATTTCGTTTTAAGGTTTTGAGGTATGTCTGACGAGAAGATGTGTCTTAGCTTCCCGAACGCTGCCCAGCCGAGTTGAATCCGTCGATTGACCTCTCGGTCGAAGTTGGACTTACCTAGTCGGACTATTTGTCCCAGGTAAACATACTCGTCAACAACTTCGAGCTTAGTGTTCCCAACAACTACCGGCATAGGTGTGACATGGACATTAAACATGATCTTTGTTTTGTCCATGTTCATCTTAAGACCTATCTATTGGGAAACACTATTGAGGTCATTGAGCATAGTGCTTAGGTCCTCCAGCGATTCTGCCATAAGGACTATATCGTCGGCAAATCGAAGGTTTTTTTTTTTTTTTTTTTATAGAATAGGGGGCAAACGAGCATGCGGCTCACCTGATGTTAAGTGACTACCGCCGCCCATGAACAACCGCAACACCAGGGGAATTGCAGATGCGTTGCCGGCCTTTTAGAAAGGTGTAGGCTCTTTTCTTGAAGGTTCCTAAGTCGTATCGGTTCGGAAAATTCGCTGGTGGTAATTGATTCCACAAAGAAGTTGTGCGAGGGAGAAAACTTCTTCTAAATCGCACAGTGGTGGACCGCCAATCATCCAGATGGTATGGATGGTAACGCGAGTTTTGTCGCGACGTGCGATGGTGAAATTGAGCGGCTGGAATTAGTCCGAACAATTCCTCAGAGCACTCCCCGTGATAGATGCGATAAAATACGCAAAGAGATGCAACATCTCTACGCAGTGCCAGTGTATCGAGCCGATCGGAAAGAACTCGGTCGTCGACGATTCGAATCGCTCTGCGCTGGATGCGGTCAAGTGGAAGGAGCTGGCACTGGGGTGCCCCGGCCCAGAGATGAGAACAGTATTCCATGTGGGGCCGAACTTGCGCTTTGTAAAGTTGCAAGCGATGTGCCGGCATGAAATACTGTCTCGCTCTGCTGAGCACGCCAAGCTTTTTAGAGGCCAATTTGGCCTTCCCTTCCAAGTGACCACGAAACTGCACGCTATTCGATATGTCGACGCCAAGGATTCCGATACTGGCTGAGGCAGCAAGGGGAGTGCCTTGAAACTGAGGAGATACGACAAAGGGGTTCTTTTTAGCGGTAAACGCGCAAACTTGTGTCTTCTGGGGATTGAATTGGACTAGATTTAGTCGGCCCCAATCCGAGACTTTGTTAAGCAAAGACTCGACTTCAGACACAAGTTTGTCCCGGTACTCGGCGACGTTTTCCCGAGAAATATTGGCACGGCCGGTATATAAGGCATCCCCAGTGCTGTCGTCCGCATAGCAATGAATGCTACCAGTTAGCAACATATCATTGATATGCAGGAGAAACAGCGTTGTTTCTCCTGCATAACGGTGAGTGATGTACTCGCCATTGATGTTGATACCGTATCCTTTCCAGTCCAGAAGCTTGAAAACGTCTTCCAATGCAGCGGTGAAGAGTTTCGGGGATATGACGTCACCCTGTCTTACACCTCTCTGCAGTTGGATAGGTTTCGTACTCTGGTTCTGTACTCGGATAGCCATCGTAGCCCTACTGTACAAGCACTTCAACACTTCGATATACCGACAGTCAACTTGGCACCGCTGAAGGGACTGCAGCACCGCCCAAATTTCGACGGAATCAAAGGCTTTCTCATAGTCCACATACGCCAGACATAGTGGCAAATTGTACTCTTCGGACTTCTGTACAATTTGCCGAAGGGTATGTATGTGGTCCATGGTGCTAAAGCCCTTTCGGAAACCGGCTTGTTCAGGAGGCTGGAAGTCGTCAAGTCTGCGCGCGAGACGATTCATAATGACTCTCGAAAACAGCACGTAGACGCGGCTCAGAAGGGAAATCGGCCTGTAGTTCTTCAAGAGAGCGTTGTCACCTTTCTTGAAGAACAAGACCACCGCACTTCTGCTCCACGCCTCCGGTGTAATGCCACCATGGAGGACGGAATTAAAGAGCTTCTGAAGGACTTCAAGTACCGGTTTTCCACCCGCTTTCAGAAGCTCCGCTGTAATTCCATCCTCGCCTGGGGCCTTACCGTTTTTAAGGAGCTGGAGAGCCATTCTAATCTCGCTCAGACTGACGTCCGGGATATCTTCGGAATAGTGTCGGATGAGACTCGCTCTTGGATCGTTACTCACACTTGCGTGTGGCTCCAACGATGACGTGTACAACTGCCCATAGAACCTCTCAATCTCACTCAAAATCTCAGGTGTCCCGGAAACGATGCTGCCACATTCTGTCTTCAGCTTTGACAGTTGGCTCTTTCTGGCAGACAGATCTCTGGCAAAGACTTTGGAGCCTTGGTTCCGCTCGATCGCTTCTTCAATACGAGCTGTATTGAAGTTGCGTAAGTCCCGCCGCATGCATTTGGAGATCTGTCTGTTCAGATGCCTGTATGCTGTCAAGTCTTTTGAAGAATGTAGCTTCATCTCCCGTCTCACAGCCATAAGATTGAGAGTGTGATAGGAGAGTGTTTGTGTTCTTCTGCGGCGGGTCTTGCAAAACTTAGCTCCGACCGCATGGACAGTTTCCACGAGCTTGTCATTCATATCGTCCACTTCATTGCAGTCTTCTAGGCACTGAAAACGGTTTTGTAACTCGAGCTGAAAGGTTTCGGGACTTTGGATTAGAGCACGAGGGGACGGAGCGTTGACTTCATTAAACGAGACCTCTCCAACTTAACGTTTAGGTTCAGTATGCCTCTAACCATTCGGTGATCGCTACCAGTTTTCACCCTCGCGATCACGGAGACATCACTGAACAGTTGTCGTCTGGTCGTCATAATGAAGTCAATCTCATTTTTTGTCGAACCGTCGGGGCTCGACCAGGCCACTTCCTGTGGGGCCGCTTCTGGAAGAAAGAGTTCATCATAAAGAGTCCCTCTTTCTCCATGAAGTCGGCCAGCTGCTGGCCCCTTGGGTTCCGTTGCCCTATCCCAAATTTCCCTACTTTCAGCTCACCGTTCTCTCTTGTGCCTAGTTTTGCGTTGAAGTCTCCCATTAACACCGTATATTGGGTTTTGGAGTAATGCATGGCTCTAGAGATATCCTCATAAATTTCCTCCACCTCCTCATCGGGGTGTGCCGAGGTTGGTGCGTAAACCTGTATGACCTTCAGCGAATACCGTTTGGTGATTCTGAGTATAAGGCACGCAACCCTCGTCGACACACTCCCGATCTTTACAACGTTGTTAACGAGAGACTTGTGGACGATAAATCCGACACCTCCTTGGGACAGATGGTCGCCCTCCCGGTGATAGAGCAAGTTGCCGGATTCGAGGATTACCGTGTCCTCCCCCTCTCTTCGGACTTTGGATAATCCTATAATATATAGACAGTCAACATTACCATTTGCCAATTCAAAAAGATAAATCATATCTGCTATGCGCCCATGAAGCAAATACAAAGAGGAGACGGCACAAGCAACTGTGCACTGTAATTCTAAGTAGATCATGACGTCATCATAGTGGGCGTGGCTTTAGTTAGTATACTGTCAGCATTCGTCTTGTGCACTTATGTGTTGAAAATCGCAAATCGGTGTATTTTCGTAGTATTAAGAAGAAAATGATGAAGTGTTGTGTTTTATCGTGTAAAACTACTCAGATAGACGCTCTGATGCTATGGATGGCATCACATTTCATTTGTAAGTAATTTTACATCTAATTTATTAAAATAGTTCTCGAAAAATCTCTACGTCGGCTTTCAAATATAATTAAATATATTCGACACTAGATGGCGACGTTTTGAGTCATGTGAACTAAAAATATAAAGGTACGTAGAGCTCAGTATTGGTAAAATAACCATACGAAAGTGCTGAAATTTGTTTTGCATTCAGACGTAAAGAAATTTTAATCGTCAAAATTTTTTTTTTAATTTATAATCATTTTGTGAACAGGCCGTTTTCTATCGTCAAGATAGCTAAACTAAATTGTAACATCGATATG